AATGACATATTTATGGTTGTTCGATGATTAAAAAAAGAAAGAATGAATAAAATTATCGGAAATCAACGAAATTAGGAAAAAAATCCATTAAGTATTGATTAAACTATTTTTTTCATCTTTACATATTATCTTTTTATATAAAAATATATAAATTTAATCATGATAGGCGTAACCATGTCTAAACTAAAATTAAACTAATGAACTTTCAATCAATGTCCAGGTAAATTCAATAATTAATCCAATTTTAAAAGGGCCCCTCCTTTATTTGGTCAACTAATAACAGTCAAACATGTGGAAATCTCCACTTGCAAACAACCAAGAAAAGTCTCTCTCGCAGCATATGCATACATATATATAATATAATGCCAGAATTGCTAGATTAGAAAGGGCAGCAAAGAGCACATCTGAAACCACCTTAAAGTGCCGTCATGTCACGATTTAAAATTGGCACCTTCTTTGAAACCTTTCACATACTCCTCCGGTTCTAAATATAAGACCCTTATACACACTAATATAAGGGTCTTACATTTAGGACCGGAGGAGTATAAAATTATGCTTTTTGATTGAGAAGTGTAGACTTTGTCCTACTTCTTACATATCCAAATCCCAAAAGATCCCACATAACCAGACTTGTGATCCGCTTGCTTAAGTGCCGAACACAGAGTCTGGCTTCAGAGAGTGGAAACAAGGAGAAGATGAGTGGAGGAGCTACAATGGATTCAGGAGAGAAGAGACTCAACGAGCTTGGTTATAAGCAAGAACTCAGACGTGAAATGGTATCATCTTCATCTTCCTGTTGTTCGATTTCTGGGAAATGAGTTATAGTCTGTATCTTTTGTTTGTTTGTTTGTGCAGACTATGTTCAAAACTCTGGCAATATCGTTCTCAACGGTGACCCTTTTCACTGGAATCACTCCTCTCTATGGTTCTAGCCTGCAATATGCAGGCCCTGCAACTCTTGTTTGGGGCTGGATCGTGGTTTCTTTCTTCACCTGGTTCGTTGGAATCGCCATGGCTGAAATATGTTCTTCCTTCCCGGTTTGTGTCTTCTCACAAAGTGGACCTTCCTGTATTGAATCTTCAATTGTTCTCTTCTTTCTGTAACCACTTTAAATATTAAACTAATACTTAAGTTTGGTTTATGAGAGGTAGACTTTGCGGTGGTCACGAGTTGATCATCATTTAACTGTGAAAAAGACACCAGATCAATATGTGTCTGGTATAAATCCTGAACTGAATCAACGTTATTTCAACAAGTAAAATATATCTTGCTCATTACTAAATAAACCCAAGTTTGTTTGAAGAAACATTTTTCTCTCTATGCTACCTTTCTCCAAATGCGTTATATGCATCCATTTTTCTCAAACATGTTACAATTTACATACTCTTGATTCATGAATGAATTTATCGCTTGATCTTTGACGAACTAGAACAGCTTAAGAATTTATTCATTGAACTAACTTTCACGTTCATTTCCACGAAATAGACAACTGGTTCGCTGTACTTCTGGGCTGCACATTTAGCAGGACCCAAATGGGGACCATTTGCCTCATGGTGCTGTGCTTGGCTTGAAACCATAGGGCTTATTGCTGGGATTGGAACTCAGGTATTCTTTAGTTTTTTGCCTTTTGATGAAATTTCTGGACAGGAGTCTTGCTTCTTGTTTATATATTAACTCTTTTAATTCATATGGAGGAAAATTGAAAAGGCATATGCAGGATCACAAACCTTGCAGAGTATAATCCTACTTTGCACAGGCACAAACAAAGGTGGAGGTTACTTCGCTCCAAAATGGCTTTTCTTGTGTATGTACATTGGCCTCACTGTTATATGGGCAGCTCTGAACACATTTGCATTAAAAGTTATTGCCTTGATCGACATCATTTCAATATGGTGGCAGGTACTATACTCTTCCACTAACCAGATATGTAGGAGCAAAGCCCATACTGATATGTAGGACCTACTCATATTCTATTCTCTCTCAATTTTCTTTGAAAGAGATAAGGTCTCCAAGTTTAAAGCATTCATATGTATGTAGTTCTGTCATCTGACAAAAAATTGAGGCTTATTTTTGTGTCATACAACTTCAAAGATGAGAAGATAGGATAAGAAAAGCACATATTCTGTGGCAGGTGATAGGTGGGACAGTGATAGTCATAATGTTGCCAATGGTGGCACTAACTAGGAAATCTGCTTCTTATGTGTTCACACATTTTGAAGTGGGATCAGAATCAACAGGAGTATCAAGCAAGCCTTATGCAGTGATTATGTCATTCCTGGTGAGTCAGTATTCTCTATATGGATATGATGCTGCAGCACACCTTACTGAAGAAACCAAAGGAGCAGATAAGAATGGACCTATTGCAATTCTGGGCAGCATTGGGATCATTTGTGTGTTTGGATGGGCCTATATTTTGGCCCTCATGTTTAGCATTCAGGTAAACGTATTAGTGGTCTATGACATTTTCATATCAGTAGACTAAACACCTTTAGAATATGAAATAAATATAATAACCACACGATGAAAACTAGATTAGACTATTTTACTCTGCTGAAAGATCAATAAATCATTAGTTCGATCACAGTTTTAGACTACATTAACCAAAAAGTTTATTGTTCCAATTCTATAAAACTTGATATACCAAAGGTTAGCTTCAATCTAAATGGGAAACACACAATAGTAACATTAGTTGTTACCAAACTCTTCAGGATTTTGGTTATCTTTATGATCCAACCAACGAGACAGCAGGAGCATTTGTGCCAGCACAAATACTGTATGATGCATTTCATGGAAGATATGGCAATTCCACAGGAGCAATCATTTTACTATTTGTCATATGGGGCTCATTCTTCTTTGGTGGGCTTTCAATCACCACTAGTGCAGCCAGAGTGGTATGTAATTATGTGCATTATCCTCTCCTATCTGTAATTAGATTCAGGGGAAAAGTGAGATCTCAGGTTTTCACAATAATTACTTCAATTTTTCTTCTTTTCAGGTTTATGCTCTGTCAAGAGACAAGGGTGTTCCATTTTCAAATCTATGGAGAAAGCTACACCCAAAGAACAAAGTTCCGGCGAACGCCGTGTGGCTCTGTGCAGCAATCTGCATTCTTCTGGGAATCCCAATTCTGAAAGTGAATGTAGTCTTTACTGCCATAACTTCAATATGTACTGTAGGATGGGTTGGGCTGGTGGGTATGCAGTTCCAATACTCTCAAGAATGGTTATGTCTGAGAAGAACTTCAAGCCAGGGCCATTTTACTTAGGCAGAGCAAGAAGACCAATTTGCTTAACAGCATTTCTGTGGATTTGTTACACTTGTTCTGTTTTCCTCTTGCCCACTTTGTATCCTGTTACATGGGAAACTTTCAACTATGCACCTGTTGCTTTAGGGGTGGGTTTGGGTCTAATATTGCTTTGGTGGCTGTTGGATGCAAGAAAATGGTTCAAGGGACCTGTTAGGAATATTGATGTTCAGAATGGTAAGGTCTAATAATTCTTCTGAACAAGTCTATCAAGGTTAGCTGATGGAATATACTTTAATTATAAGCTCTTCATTAACACACACACACACACACACTCTCTTTCTTGTCGCGATTAATTATATGCTCTTCATTAATACTCCCTCCGTTCCTTATTATAAGAGACAAATAACCAAAGTATATTGATCAAAAAAACAGTTAAAATTAGTTAAGAACAATTAATATATAAAAAGTATAATTTTTTTCCAAAAATGCCCTCATTAATAAGGAGAGAGAACATGAGAGAGAACAATTAAATTATTAAAAGAAAGAGAAGTGAGAGGGAGAGAGAGTGTAAGTTGGAGATAATAAATATGAGTAAAATAGTAAATCAACACAAAAAAGTAGAGACAACTTGTAAGTGTCTCTTATATATAGGAACATGCCATAAGCATCAAATGTCTCTTATAATATGGAACGGAGGCAGTACTTTCCTGTCACCATCTCTGTTTCTGACTTATAATTTGTAAGGTCAATTTTGTAATCCTCATTTACACCACTATCAATAGAAATTGCCGGTGGCATACGTGACAGTAGCACCAAGCACCTCTCAGAGAGAGAAAGGTTATACATATGTGGGAAGAATATAAATATGAATGTGTGAATGAATTTGCAATTGTTCTTTAGAAAAATATTGATAAAAATTTTAAGGTGGAATGCAAGTATTGATTATTTTCAATAAAAAAATCTACTTAACTAAAATATATTGGCATGTTCATCGTAAATTTTAATATAAGTGCAAACATGATATAGTTAGTTATATGTATCATACTTATGTAGGTATATATTTGTAATAATTAATTTGGCTTGTTTAAGTTTTTAAGCAAATCTACTTCAAAACTTTTTGAAAAAATTTCACAAAAAAAACCTTAAAATTAGTATTTTTCAATTCAAGCACCTAATACTTCAAAATGATAGAGAATAGAGTAATCTTAAATTGTAATTTTAAAATTGAAAAAATGACAAAAATGCCCATTTGCTAATCTCATTAAAAAACTTGTTGTTAATCTCAAATCGAGACTTGTAATTTCACAATCAGTACTTATTATTCTTAGATGAATTTTTATCATGATTCACATGTTATGTATCAAGAAAAAATGTGTTGTTAATCCCAAATTGAAATTTGTTATTTTACAATCAAAACTTGTTAATAAAGGGACATTTTTGTCATTTTTCTTAAATTTCGAATTTTCAATTTGGATTTACTTAAAAAATACTAATTTTAAGGTTCTTTTGCTGGAATTTTTTTTCAAACTTTTTTCATATATAATTTAAAGAGAAATCTTAAGCTGTAATTTTAATATTGAGGATCATTTTTTTAATAAAAAATTTTGAATTTAATATTATATGATTGAATCATTAATCATTGAAGTTAATGTTATATGATTGAGTTATTAATTGCTCAACAAATTTTGATTTTACGAAAATCTCAGCACAAATACCTCGGAAAAAAATTCTACGAGAAATAGATTAGTGATAAGTCATGAAATAAAAGCCTTGAATTAGAGCAAGCAGTTCTATCATACGCATAACTAAAATTACAAATTCCACGTGACAAATTAAGGAACGACTTCTCCGTCCAGAAAGCGAGTAAAAGTATTAGGAAATGTCCGAACCTTTGAATTCAACTCCCTCACCTCTCTTAATTCCTCTACCCATAAACTGTAACTTGAGTTCTTTGCTAGAACGTCCTCGGATACAGCCTTACTTTCAATAAGTTCCACTGCATACTTCTCAAACTTCTCTATATTCTGCCACAACAAAACCTGTTTGTTCACGTCCCGTTCGCTTCTCACTCTACTCAACCAGTCCCTTGCTTCTTCAACCTTTGCCCAAAAGCACGAGTCTTGAGTCAAGCCCGCAAATTTTGTCCTCTCTTTAGTTTCTTCCATGGTAGCCTCTTTTTCCATCCACCACCTATCAAAGATCTTGTATCTCCTATCTCTTCCACGCTCTAGGTAATGGCCGTTTGTTTTGTGCTTCTCCTTCCCGTAATACTCTGCAATATCCAATGGCTCTACCAGGAGCTGGTAGGAGTGAGAGGCATTGACCCATTTTGCTCGCTTGTTAAAATCACGAGGCAGTTCATTGTTTTCCAACATTTCAATGACGTTGTTCCAGAACCTGGCTAGTTTGTGACGGTTCATGTTGACTTTCATATCTCTTTTTGCGGTTGTGGAGCCCCTTCGCTTGAAGGAGTCGTAGTACCCCAGTTCATCATCTGACTTATCACACCATGCTTTGTACCACTCTATTTCAGCCCTGTATGGTACAAACTTGGACAATGTAACAGCTAAGTTAGCAGCATTCAGAGTTGGTGTACGACCCTTTCTTCTGGCCGAACTTAGGCATTGCCTGAAAGGTGAAGCAGCTGGATCCTGCAGGTTCCATGAAACGTAATTTGCTAAGTAAAATCACCTTCTTCTATTAGAATCAATGAATCATGTTTATCTGATATGGGTGAAAACAAAATGAAGATACAATCTGTATTTACCCGGCTTGTAATTCCAGAGGATTGAAGGGCCAATTCTAGCCCTGCTTCATAGCTTGAGTCAGGGACATTCACCTGCATGGAGTTTCTCTGGTTCAACGATTGCTGAGACAGTTTATTTACATAATCTCCATACTTCAAGTGGTCCTTGATACAAGAAGCTGGGGAACTTGTTGCCAACATCAGATGCATCATCTTTATGACTGTGGCTGTTCCATCCACACACACTGCTCCTTCGTCAGAAACAAAAAAGTAGCTTCCAAACGGGTGAAACAAGACTGGCAAAGTCCTTTCTCCATCTTGTGATGCTGCATTGTCCAAGTAAGCCATTACAAATGTGAAAATATCAGCTTTTTCTTGGTCAGAGATTTGAGCCCCAAAGTTGCCCAAGTGAGGAGAAGTCATGCAGAATTGCCAAAACTGAAGCAGGGAATATATCTGAGTAGTGAGAGGGATTATAGGAGCAAAAAGCAGCCTAGGCATAATGTCATGCTTTGATACCACGTGACAGAAGTTGCCACCCCATCTTTCTTTGAGAATGGCTTTGGAAAGAGACTCGTTACCCAGTAGTGGGGAACCATAGGTTATGCATAAGACTGACATGGAGGAGGAGATGGATTGGAGGTAAGACAAAAGCCAAATAGTACAAAGAGAGGCGATGGCTCCTCCAAGAGAGTGACCAGTGATGATGATTGACTTGGTATTGGGATTCCCCATGATTGCCATCATCTGAAAAGGATGATTTCAACAGTTAGGAATGTGAATTCAGAGCAGAGAGATTCAGGAACAGTTCACACAAATGAACCTATATGAAATAGTAGTAGTAAAGTTGATAATATAATTTATGAGTTACAGTAGATTTGCCTGTTCAGGTCAAAAAATCTTAGTCCCGGCAAAGTTAGTATACGACGTTCTTTCTTCCTTTCATTCAAGTTGTTTGTTTTTGAATCGAAGACCGCTTTGAATTTGGAAAGTTGATCATGAAGCGTCTGAAATTAAGGTCTCATTTCAGGTCATGAGATTGGCGAATGGGGCACGGCTTTTTCCTCTTCTCACAGCTCAATCATTTGAGGCTTGCTCCCAAAACATTGAACAGCGAAGAACGTGTAAGGGAGAACAAGCAAGTCAAAAGCCTCCTTATTTGACCCGATAAATCAAATCACTTTAACAAGGTGGCTAAGTCTAAACAACGGGTACTATTGTATGCTAAACTGGAATTTAACTGACAAATCACTAGAACATCATTCGAGTAGTTTCCACTCGTATGAATCATTATCAACATATTTTCACTGTTAGGCGGGACCAATATGTACAGAACGTGAAAATTAAATCAAGTTCATAGCTTGTAAATAATATAGCTCTCTTTATTTCACCGAAAAAAAAATAATATAGCTCTCTAAAGAGTTATAATTCATATTAATATTAATGTTTTGCCATTATTTATATTAATATTAAATTATTCATTTTGTTTTGGATTTGATGGAGGGTCTCTTGGACAATACATAGGGGTGTAAGAAATTGCTAAATAAAAAACTAATATTGGAAGAAATGAACTATGAGAGAGTAAGTACTAAAAATAAACTAACCTCACTTGTCCATCAAAAAAATACATAAAACAGAAGTTACGCAAAATTACAATCAGATCCTAAGGAAGAGATTTAATTACCTTAAAAAACAAGTTACAGAATAGAAAATAACAACAGGTTCGGGTTAGTCACTTGTGATTGGAACTTTTTAGTAATTAAATTTCTTTCTTGGGACCTTTTTATAATTTTTTCTTAAAGTTATTGAACATGAGGAAAAAGTATCAAGCCTTTAATAAAAAAGGAATATAAAAGTAATTTGATGATGCACCATGGATGCTTTAATTTCAATTTTATTGACCAAGAACAGTTGAAAATTGATGCTTGCCTTGTTCTTTTGGGGGGGGGGGGGGGGAAAGATGCTTGCCTTTATCAATTATTTAGAGCATTATCTCTTTGATGATGCAAGCAGAGAGAATGATGAAGTAAAAGTTTGATCTATAGTTTCTAATTGGAAAATTAGACCCTTTCGTGGTATGGGTAGCAAGTTTTAGGCACTAATAAAGGAAGAATGGTAGGTGGCCATTGACCGAAAGTGATGGTCTTGTGTCCATATATATATATATATACTCCTCCGGTCCTAATTATAAGACCCAATTGACTTATTTGAGGAGATTAAGGAAGTAAGTTAAGTTGGTTATTTATAATAAATAAGTGTTGTCATTCCTAAAATATCCTTGCTAATTAAGTATATTGGCTAAAATTATCATTATTAGAAGGATTATCTTGGAAAAAAAATGCATAAATATAAGAGACAAAATGGATTGGGTCTTATAATTAGGACCAAATAAAAAGTCAAATTGAGTCTTATAATAAGGACCGGAGGAGTATATATATATATATATATATATATATATATATATGGGCCAGAGTCTTGTGTCCATATATGAGACCGGAGAAAAGAGATGAGGTTGTTGTGTGGTGGGTTTTGCAAGAATTAGTCATCTTTGCTTCTTCTAGTTTCGATATCATAAGAACACATCCCTATATTTCCAATGAACAAGTGTGTAAAAGATACTTTTGGGTTGACGTCTCAACCGCCATTCAAAGTCATTCCTTCAGGTCTTCACAAACTTGGCCGAAAAATATAATCAGTAATGTGATTTTATATTATTTTAATATCTAAGGATGCAAGTTTACACGCGGAGCTCCGGATGGTTAATACTGACTAATTGACTAATTTAAATAAATTTAAAAAAATTAATTAAATTAGTTATTTGTAATAAATAAATGTTATCTCTTCTAAAATAACATTGATAATTAACTGTCATTTGATTAGACATTTAACATATACAATTACTTTAAGAATTACCTTAAAAACATATAAAAGATAAAATGAATCATAGTCTTATATTTACAATTAAATTAAAAGTTAAACTAGAGCTATACACTCTGTACTGTAAGTCGTTAGTGCTTGGCTTTCATTTCGATAAGAACGATTTGTTGGAATAATCATTTTATTCCAGACCAGCTTTTTTCCCCCCTCTTTTTGTTTTGGATATATCACTTTCACTGGCACTAACACACAAAACACGTACACACTGAGAAATTTGTTGGAAAGTGAAAGGCACTACCCCGGTGAGTGGGGCAAATGGCGCATCAGAGGTTTAACTTTCCTACCTGACATCTTCTGGGATGGTTCTATCACCATTAGTATTAGTAATTAGCAATAGCCCATAATTCCACCTATCTTTATCATATAATTATGCAAACGACAAAGAAAATGACAATATTGCTTTATCAACAATCTCATACCCCAATATAAACACGGCACAAAAATTGGAATTTAGCATCTATTGAGAAATATTAGCCATTAGATTGTGATGTAACGATATTTAGAGAGGAGTTACAAATTTAGTTTAAAAGATAACAAACAAATATCTTTGTTGTAACTCTTCCTTCAACATTGTTAGATCACACTCGGATGCTTAATAACTTTCAATTTAAATTTAAATTTAAATTTAAATTTAAATTTAAATTTAAATTTTTATTTTTATTTTTATTTTTCATATTCTTAGCATTTTGTTTTGTTTCAATTTAAATTTTCTTCTTGTATGAACCACTAACTAATTTGGTAAATTATGTGGAGTCAGGAGTGACAGGGTGACTCCTATGCATTGAATGCGCCTATCGTGTTACATGATTTGTTTATTTATTTGAAATTAAATTAGATATTCTTAGTATTATTTGTAAGTTATTTTTAACATGCTTCACACAGATCAGAGAAAACTTTTTAAACAAATTTTCTGAATGAAGAAGAAACCAGTGAGGGGGCTTCACCGATTTTTACTCTTTGAACACAAGCTTCCTGACCAGAAGTCGGCCGCGAGGAACTACCCCCATTTCATTGGTGTTCTAAGTTGGCGAAATAGAAGAGACATCATCAAGTAAAGAGGGGGTCGAAGATAGGGTACATGGGCTTGATCTGACCACTGTAAAATGTATCTAAAAAGACCCCAAAAAAACTCGTCGGATTAAGATAGCGTAATATACTACCTTGGATGCTTAATACTACTATAAGAATAGACTAATTTAAGTAAATTAATAAAATTTATTAAGTTAACTATTTAAAATAAATATATATTATCTTTTTTAGAATATCTTACTAATCATATATATTAATTAAAACTACCATTTAATAGAACTTTTATCATATACAACGACTACTTGAAAAAAATAAATTAACATAAGAAACAAAATAAATTAAATGTTAAACTAGTCCTTATAATAAAATAATAAAAAACACCAAAGCAATGATTCAAGACCTGTCCAAAGTTGGGACGTTATTCCTAGAAGAAGATGTTTCGATAGAAACCAAATCATGATTTCAGAAGTGATTTTACAGTTTATGAGGTAAATAAATTTATCTCGATTTGTAAAAAAGTCTTTCTCGGAAACACTTTTCAGGATATTCAAACACCCTAGAAGTCAGAAGATTAAAAAAATGGGCCAAGCCCCTTGCCGGTATATTCTTCACTCAGAAAAAGCTTTTAAAAAATCGGAGGAAGGCGAGCGTCTAAGACCAGACCAAAACAGAGAGGGAAAGAGTCCGAGGAAGAATTTCTCACAAAAAATTAAAACCATAACTTTAAAAAGTAGTTGAAGAGAGTGAGATTCTAAATTTCAACCGAGTTAAAAGTTAGTAGACTGAGTCACCCCGAATTTTACTTGAATTAGTTAAAATTTGAAACAACAAACAGTTAATTTTTCCTTATTTATTTTTATAAAAAGTTACGGGTATTCTTTCCTATTCAGATTTTTCTTTTCCGTTTTCTCGAACAATCTGATCATTGCACGATCAGATAAGCCACGCTACCGAAGAATCTAATTACCGTAATTGATGAAAATAGCAAGGCGGTGCTCTCTTGGTCTGATCGCCTTAACAGAAACAGAAATGATCGAGCAATTCGTATCAAAACAAACTTATGTGCGCATACGCGCGCGAGATAACCAAATTCAGTGATGCAAATCAAGCTCACGATGGAGTTTATGATTCAGTGATTTATGGAAGTCTGATTGAGATTGAGGCGGAGAGCGATACGCACCTGATTTTGAAACTGCTTGAAGATTGACCAGAAGAGATTGAGCATCCCCTTGTGCACCATGACGCTGTCCTCGCCTTCCTTGCTCGGATGCGACGAAAACAGAGTGACGTCGCCGACGCTAACCAAGGGCACCAACTGTCCCCAGCTCGGCCCCGAACCGCCGGCCATTTGGATGCCGGAAAAGGCAAGGTACACGGCATCCCCGATTTGCTCCGTCAGAAAACTTCCAGACGCGGCGGTGTTGGCCAAGCTGCACAATCTCCATGATTCCGGTATCAATGGCGTGGAGAGCAGGAATGCGGCGAGCATGTCGCTCGACTCAAATCTAGAAGAAGAGAGAAAATTAAACTAAACTGAATGAGAAATAGCTGATTCTTTGATAGAAATTTCCTAGTTACTGAGTAAGGAGGAACAAGTCATGTAGGAGAAGAGTGAGTACTTACGGTGAAGTTTCGGTGTCCATGTCCAAAGGAGTCTTTGACAGAGAGGAAGGGAAGGGAAGGGAAGGCAAAGGAAAGAGAATAGGAAGCTTTGAATGAAATGAAGTGAGCAATGAGAACGTTGAATAAGTCGTGCTAAAGAAGGGCTATGGATACGTAGAGAATACAATTAAGTGCCTAACTTTGTTTATCACAGTTTAATTTGGCCAAAAAACTAATGATGATTTAACCAAAGACTTGAGGGTCAATAATATAATTCTTGAAATCTTGTTCTTGATATGGTGGGGATTTGTAGAATTTATTCCACCACTTTAGTAACTATCTTAACTTTTTTTTGGCGCATGCATTTGCTTCTTTTTGTTTTTTTTTCCATTTTTTTATTTTTAGGTCCTTAACATAAGAAATACTTAATTAATTTAAGTAGATTAAAAAAATTAAATAACTTATTTAATTCTAATAAATATGAGATAACCTTTCTAAAATAAAATATTTTCATGTAAGTATTAGATTATATATTAGTTTGTACATCAAATAAGTTAGTTTTAAAAAATAATACATATCATAAATAAACTTGATTAAAATTTTACATTTAAACTTAAATTTAAGTCCCTAACTAGTTTCCACCTTCGGCACCATGATAGACTAATGGTTGATAGTTATTGAGGGAGAAATAAAGTTGAAATGATGAAAGGAAAGCTTTTTCTTCTTCGTACAACGCACAATGTATTGTCTCATTAATAATTATTCCCTAGCAATGTCACTTTTTTAAAAACAAAGACATGGCATTCATTTTTCATCTTTAAAAAGTATTTATTTTCCTAAAGCATTAATCCATTTATTATACAAATTTATCTGAATAAATGTAATATACCAGTAATGCAGTGTATCAAGTGAAAGACACTAATAACTCTTACATTTAACAATATTAAAATCTAGGTCAATTGATATATGGAATATTCTGTTATAACATGCACAAGGAGAGCTTTAGCATATTAAATGCAGGTTATTTGGTGTAATTCTGTGCTGCCAAACTAGGACAATAGATCAAAGCCAAAAATAAACATAATCATTCAACATCAGTATTTTTTTGTTATGAAAATTTTAAAATACCATGTTATTGTTAAAAACAACAAATGTCATATACTCTACTCTTATTTATAAATCACTTCTAATATGTTTCACATGGACCAATAAAAAATTTAAACTTTATTAGTTCTCATTTAAAATTTAATAATTTTTTAACTTTATTTCTATTTAATATACAGCATACCTCATAAGAACAAAGTCAACACAATAATAAATAAACAGTAAAATTAAACATTATGAAAATTTTAACGAGAGGAGTATATTATGTATTTAATTGTCTCTGAATTCAATGGCCAAAAAAATTAATTATCTCTAAGTTAATTAATAAAAAACAATGGGGAGAAAAGATGGTACAAAATTTGTGGGCATGGAATGACTTCAAATTCAAATACGCGTGAGGCATGATGTGGGATCGGCTCAGGTCATGCCGGGTCATTGTCTCTTTTATGTTATCAAATATCTCAAATAACCAATAACATTTTGCCAAATCTTTCTTTTTCAGCTTCAAAGAAAAAAGATTTCGCCAAAAAACCCAATAAGCGTTTTCACACGCCAAAAGCAAAAACCGTACAAACCGCGTTTCGTTCGGGTTCGTGTTGACTTCCTTATTTTACTAATTTATTTCACCTTGTGGAGCTCATCGTGGTCTTATTCTTTAAAAAATTTTTAATTACCACTGTTGCAAGCGTCAAATTACACACCTTTTCGTTGGTTTTCTGACACGGTCTTCAATATATAACCTAATTATTGAGTTAATTTTAATTATAAATATAATATCTATTTCTTATATTTATCAATTTTTTCTAAATTACCTCTATAGACATCCCTTCAACTATAATCAAATAGAAGAGAAAATAAGAATATTAAAAAAAATGATTATGATGTTTTAGAAAAAACATGTCATATTTTTTATAATTAACTAACTTACCTAACTTTCTTAATCCAATCAAATTATTTAAATAGATCTTATATTATGGACCGGATGAGTAACTTTGTCTAAAGATTCCTGGGATTTGCATTTTAAAACCAAAAACTACACTTTCCTTTATTTGTGTGATCTCTTAGATACTATCATAACAAACAACGCACCATTCCTTGATCTAGAAATGGGCATGATTGATATCAACCAGTGATCCTAAAAGAAATCTTTTTGTAGTTCTGTTGTTCTGTGTGCTTTTTCATCATCAAATCAGTGCAAAGCTAAAAGAACACATTATACTGTGATTAGTGGGAAGGTGGCTTGGAAAGGTGGACCTAAAGCCATCTCTTCACCCATCTAAATGGTGATTAGATAAGGGAAATCCTAGAGTCTCATAATCTTATGTTTGAATATGCTATAAAGGAGATATGGTTGGCCGGCAAAAAAAACAAAACAGAGAGATATGGTTCAATTTAAGTTTCATTAATTGGAATAATTTTGTTCAAATTATCTTCACATGAGATTTTTAGGGGGAAAAAATTAGTTAAAAGTCCCTAATTAAAAAATTAATTGTCTAAAAGTACTTGTAAAGTTGGAAATTGCGTAAAGACCCGGATACCGTCTATTTTTAGCGACTGTAACTCATATTTAGATGTATGCAATCCGTCTTAAGCTATGTACAAAATAAAAAATATCTACATTTAGCTAAAGATATGTTGTAAGAAAAATAAAACAGGCACATAGATGAATAAGCCTTGTATATTAGATGAAACAATCTGTCTATTTCTTTCCTTACATTATCATATTCTTACTACTAGATTATTAAAGTTTGATTGATTCATATGACATATGTCATCTTAACCTATAATATGTGACGTTGGATTAAAATGGCATTTTGATGCCAAAAGATAAGGAAAGAATTACCAACTTTCTTCTCTGAAAAAATAACAAGCTATTTATTTTGATAGATTTTCAAATATTAAAACCATTATAATAGTAGTCAAAATCATTATAAGAATAGTAACCTATTTATTTTTTGAAATTCAATACGTATTTTCTTGTTATGTTTTCTTTCTTTTTTTTCCCCTTAATGTATAAACGGAGGAGTCCATCGTGGGCATTTTACGGTACGGCAGTAACAAATTATCAATTGCCTTGAGTGCAGGGCTAACAACCCAATTAAATTATTCAACGTTATTTGCTAATTGTATTTCAGATTTTATTATTTATATCAGCTTTTTATGCACGAAAATCAATTTAAGTTTCAATTTCAAAGTCAAAGTCAACCACCATGAGAGCTCCTAGAACGTCATCACGTTACTTAAATAAATAAAAGTCGCGCTTTTCTTATCAAAAGCTCAAGTATAGCAGCTTTTATAAATGTACTATTAAAAAAAACGACGGTTTTTTTCCCTTGGGAAAAAAATGACGATTTGAAAACCGTTGATTATTCATTATTGAAAAAAATAAAGTTTACATCGTTAGTAGTTAAAAACCGGTCGGATTTCGGGGAGGAAAAAATAAAACACACACTTCCAGAGTTTCACTTTATATGGTAATTACACAGATGTTTCCGTATATTATACTCTTTTCAGTTGAAAATATAGCACTCTTTGCTTATATATAAGTTATTAGGGTAAAAATTTGTTTATAAGTGCAAGTCACTGGTTGATAATTAATGCCCTTGTTTCAACTCTGTTCTTGTTGAATATAATAAAGAAAATGGGCGAAAATTGGCAAATATTTTTTCTTTCAACATCCGCTTTTCTTAAATAGGGGTAAGTATAAGAATTTTATCAAATTAATATATTTCTTGATATGCGAAACTGAGATATAAACATAAATACAAGTGTATGTGTAAGTGAAACAAATATATGCATGTATATATGTTGTACTGCTTCATTTTTAAATGTAAAATCCATCTCCTTAATATATTTAAGGGAATCTCTTTTTGGAAAATACCAAATAAGCCTTGTTAGTGGCAGAAGCAATATTTGTGTGACGTGGCTATACTATTAGATTTGGATCCAGCTAAATGTGAATGGCCCAATGGGCCATATCAACAGTGTGAACACGAATCCCGGCGAGCCGGCGAGGCGCTTGACGCGCATCTATTCACATTCAAACTACCATTGTTTCTGATTTTTAATATAAAAACTAGTTGATTAATTTGAATAGATTAAGAAAATTAGTTAAGTTAATTATTAGTAATAAATAAGTGTTATCTTTTTTAAAATATTCTTGTTAAATTAAGTGTATTGGCTAGAATTACCATTATGACAAAGACTACTTTGAAAAAAATAGATAAATATGATAAATAAAGTAGATCAGAGTCTTATATTGATGACTAAAATAAAAGTGAAATAAGCTCTTATATTAAGGACTAGAGGTAATACTACTTCCGGTCATTAATATAAAAGCTAGTTGACTAATTTAAGTAGATTAAAAAAATTCGTTAAATTAGTTATTTGTAATAAATAGGTGTTATCTTTCCTAAAATATCCTTTCTAATCAAGTATATTTATTAAAAATACCATTATTACAAAGACTACCTTGAGAAAAAAATAAATAAATATAAGAAACAAAGTCAATTAAGGTCTTATATTTAGAATCAAAATAAAAATCAAACAAATTCTTATATTAAAGACTAGAGATAGTATTAAGTAAACAGCAAATATATATATTTAAGTAGTACAAAATTAACATGCCTGCATAATCCATAGATTTTTATTAAAATATTTTATAATTCTTTTATTTTTATCAGATTATGATAATATTTATATATAGATTAAATTTATTTATACATATTTTTTATTATTTAATATTATAATAATACTATTATAATGTTTTAAATCTCTCCATTGAGTGTTAATCTTATGGTAGAGATACTAAATGGAGGGAAATGGAGAGAAAGCCAAATGGAGAAATTCCTCTCCCTTGTCTTCCTGGGTCATTGTTCCATAGTGAATTACTTGCATTTGCATAGGGCTTCAAATGCTAGTGGTGAAAAAAATTACACTATCTATTGTATATTATTCATCATATAAGACTTTATATTATTTATATATTTTTCCTGACTCAATCTCTTAATTATAAATCGATATAACTCAATTTCTAAACTTT